CCAAGCGAGTTCCTCCTTCAGTTTGGGGTCGTATTAGTCCTGGTGACCTGACCACTGCTTCCGATGGCATGTCATGGAAGCCCTGGCTGGAGGCGCCCCCATTCGGGCTACTACAAACCTGCAAGCACATTCTAAAGCTGCGCCCGCCAAAGCCAGATCACTAGGACATCCTCTTGGTTAATGCTTCCAGCAGCCCAGAGGCTCCGTGTGAACCTGCGCCAGGGTAGAGGGGTATCCAGGGTGACACTCTCAGGTACACGTGTCTAGTCCGGGGAAGGTGGCTAGCACACCTTCCTCAGCCTGGAACATGATGGCCTTTTCCGAAGGGAGAGTTCAGAGAGACATCTAAACGTAAGCGTATATGTTCCCAGACGAATGAATGAATGAAAAATGGTACTGCTCACCCTTCTTGGGCCTGTGGAGCTCTGTGGAATGAGATCTCCTAGCCTGATTACCCATTCAGTGGTTCCATCTGGCTACCAGGTGACCACCCACAGTGGGGTCCACCCACTGAAGATTCTGCAGGTTTGAGGGGCTACCCGCCTTCAGCCACTATCGTGTCTACGACAGGGCAGGCACCATCTGCTTAGCCACCTTCTGCTGCACCTGTCTATGTATGCCTGTCGCCTGGACCCCTCCCCACAAAGGAAAAGTGTCAATAACAGCAGCCAGAGCTGCTGACCCTGCCTAGTCTGTACTGGGCTAAGTGTCTTCTGGCCGTCTCATTTCCGTAACTCATAAGGAAGGTGTCACCTGACAGATGAGGGGTCTGAGGCTCAGAGAGGTTGAGTTGCCTGCCCCAGCTGGTCGCAGACCTCAGGAGCCCTGAGCCCCACACCCATGCTGCCTCCGGCGAGAACGCCTCACCTGGGTGGAAGGTAAAATGCTGAGGCTGACTTCGTTTTCTTTTCCCATTGATGACGTAGAAGTTCACCTTCACAGACGTGCGGATGTGCTTGTTCCGATACTCAGGGATCTCCACAAAAAGCATATTCTGGAAGGAAGGAGGTGTCTGTAAGTTTAACTGCAACAACAGCTAGGCCCCTCCCCAGCCCTCAGAGCATACACCCAGCCCCTCTACTGGAACGTCCGCACACTCGGTGCGTTCACGGGTGGGGGGCGATGTGAGGGGAGGCGCTGTCAGCCGCAGCGGGGAAGATATTCTAGGAATACATTTGTAAGATGTCGTCATTACAAACCCCAGCGCCTGGCACTCAGGAAATGCATAGCCGTGCATCAGTTCACTAGGGATTTACTGAGTACCTGTGGGTCCGAAACACCGGGGGCTCTGATGAAGGGAGGAAGAAAGGCAGGGAAGAGCACAGAGGAAGGAAAATGCAACAGAGGCCGAGTCAGCTGCCCAAGGTCAGCTCATCGGGTGCTTACAGGCTGGCTTTTGTCTTTGTCCACCGTGGCTTCCATCTCCCAAATTTGCTGCCCGTCTGGGGGAAAAAGAGACAGACTTTGAAAGAACTACCAGAATCCCACGACGTAAGATGATAATTCACACGCTTACATGTCTCGGTTTATGTACTGGGTCGTCGGGAAAGGTGTGAAGCATTTTTGCATAGAAAAACACGTCATGACTTTCCTGACGACCCAGTATTCTATCATTTTGGTAAGAGGTACATTGTGTAAGTGCAAGTGTGTATATATTTATATTTATATATGCAAATATTTCTTTTCCAAAGGAAAGGAGACATGTTGACAACAGAAAACTAGACGATAGAACAATAAGGAACAAAGAGTAATTGTCTACGATTCGACCATCGCTATCTTCTCTTTCTGCATCTGAATATCTACGCATCTCTCTTCAAGAAAAGGTATTATTATACATTATACTTTGTTATGTGTTTTATTCAACCAACAGCTATTTCTTGTTAAAGAGATTTTTGCTATAGGGTGCATGTGCTTGCCAGAGAGACAAAGAGACAGAAAGTGAGACCCCCCCCCCCGGCCCCGAGCGATGGCCACACTGCAATCGCTCCTCCTCCATTCTCCTTCCCATATTTCGGGCGCACACGCACATGTGCTCTGCGTGAGTTTCAAGCCGCTGGGTCTAAGACTTGAACCACAGTCAGCCATGTGGGAGTCCAGTGATATAACCATTATGCCATCTGCTGGCAAAGACTATTTTTAAAAGGTCTTGCATATGCCGAAAATGTCTCAGGGGACCCATTATAGGTCCCCGATTGTCCCAGGCATCCCTCCCCAATTGTCTGAGAACACAGGTGGCTTACACATTCTGTCCCAAGTGAAGAGGAAGCCAGTGACTTGAACAGTGTCCAAAAATCATGAGTCACCAGTGAGCCTGGGTCCACAGGAGCCCACCCGCCTTCTGCCTGTCCCTCAGCAGACAGCCTCGAGCACCCGTGAGTCATGACAACAACTGATGAGAAGGTTTGCTCAACAGCAAAGTCTCCATCCCAGGAGCAGAGCACAGTTTCCCCCATCTGGGGCCAAGAGCTCGGTCCAAACAAAACTCTGCATTTGCAGAGAATCAATTTCTCTTGCTGACCACCTACATGGGCCACTGGGCAGTTTTCAACTGAAACAAATCATTTCCACAAGTTATTTCCAGGGTATTCTGTGGAACACTGATTCTGAAGGATATTAAATGGTTTTATGAGAGAGGAAAAAAAGTCTACAAGCTAATAAGCATTTGGAAAATGCTGAGTCAACGTCAAATAGATTTCTCCCTGCAGGACTTCTCAGAGCTTTAATATGTTCATGTGCACAGTCACTCTTCCAGGGGGGCCAGAGCAGGTAGCATGTCCCAACATCTGGGCCAAGAATCTCTCCCCCTCCTGCAAGTACTGCACGAGCATCGTCTGTGATGGCTTAGACTTGAACTCATACGGTCTTGGCTGCCCGGAGAAATCTGGGCTTCAAGGGTTATTTGTACATACTAGGATGAACAAATAATTAACAAAAAGTCTGTGACTGTCACCAAAGCTGATGCACTCTGGATGATCTTAATAAGGAGCAAGGGGAACCGGCAGTTAGCGTAATGGCTATGTCACTGGACTCCCACGTAGTCAACCGCGGTTCGCGTCCCAGACTAGGTGGCTTAAAACTCACACCAGGCGCGTGTGCGTGCATGCCCAAGATCCCGAGAGGAGAATGGAGGAGAAGAGATTGCTGCATGACCATCCCCCCTGAGGGGTGATTTCTCGCTTTCTGTCTCTCTGTCTCGCTCTGTCTGTCTGGTGGGCGCACGCGTCCTATAGCGAAAACCTCTCCAAAAAAATAAAATTAAAATTAAAAAAAAAATAAGGAGCAAGCAACGAACACACTAGAGCCCCTGTACCAGCGAAGTCTGCAAGGCCTTACAGCTCTATCCGATGCGACTCCTGAAATGACCAAGGAAGACAGGGCTGACATCAGAGAGGGACAGGAAAGGGGGTTAAGGCACCCACTCACTGCAGTGTGAGCTCCCCGCGGGAGGGCCAGTGGTGTCCACCACAACCTCTCCAGCAGCCAACACTGAACGCGCCCTGTGAACGCTCATGACCAAATACCCGGGAGGGTCAGTGCCCCCTAAGGCTGATGATGGGGCCAAGGAAAAGTCAGACACTAACATCACACACTGCTCAAAGGCAGCAAGAGGGCCGGCCTCATAGCCTAACAGTTAAGAGAGCTGGCTCCCACATGGCCAACGGCAGTTCAAATCCTGACCCTAGAGGCTTAAATAATAGGATGGATACATGCCCCAAATCTCAACAGGATGGAGAAATGGAGGAGGAGGAGGGTTAGAGTGTTAGCATGCCCCGTGGGGAATGCTTTCTCCCTCTCTTCCCCTCTCTGTCTCCCGCTAGCAACTGCACACACCTGCTGGCAATTAAAGAAAGGGAAAAAAAAAGGCAGCAAGGAAGGGTAGAGGGTTGGACATTGAGGAATTTGAATTGAAGTCAGCAAGACTTGAGTCCTTCCTCTGTACCAACCCATCCGCAAAACTGGACAAGCCTCATTTCTGAAAGACAGGTCAAAGTTCAGCCTCAGGGACATGGGTCCCCGTCTTGGGTTGGGGGCACCATCAGGAGCATGGCTGGGCAACCCGGCTCCCGGTTCTTGTCAAAAAACACATCCCCCCACTCAGCGATGGCAAGGTGCACTCTAAGCCAGAAGACCGAATGTAAAATTCACTGAGGCAACAGCGTGTTAGAGTTTGGTGCCTCACCCTCATCGCTGGCTTCTCATTGGCTAGACTGAATTTCACCACTAACAGCTTCGTGGTTCTGTCGAGGCACTTCCTCAGAAGGCTTGGGCAGCCACAGCCCACAGCCTCCCAGAGCTCAGAGGGTTTGAGTCGGGGAGAGAAGCCCGGGGAGTGAGGGCGTGGAAGGAAACGCCTGCCCACTCCAGGACCCTGTGTCCCACCTTCACGCCACGCTGGCTGTACCCAGGAGCCTTCTCAGACCTGCATTACAGTCAGCCCGGCATGCTGGCATTTCACCCCTGTGTACCCGGAACCTCAGAGAGGGCAGACCCAGCTCCAGATCCCTGATTGCCTCTGGTTAGCTGTGTGACGTGGAAAAGACGGTACACCTCGCCGCCTCTTACCCAGAATATGGTCATACTGCGTAGGGAGGCCCGAGGCTTAGATAAGATACTAAGCACAGGCAGGTCCAAATGCTGACGGTCACTGGTGAGGGCTGCTACAACGGCTGGTGGCCTCGTATTGTTTATTTCCACGTTGTTTTCTGTGTCTTTCTGGCATACATTCCACAATGTGTTGATATTAAAAAGAACATGAGCCCGGTCGACAGATCAATGGACCAAAACGGAAAGCCCAGAAGCATGTTCAAGTGGATAGAAGCCATTCTTTTGTATACTAAATTTATATAGATATATATACTTGGACGTGTTTCTAGACCTATTTGAAGGACGTCTTCTGCCCTACGTTGTTTTCTTCCCTTCTCTCTTTTTATATATAATAATAATGACGTTGATAAAACTAGTAGTGTGGTTGCAAAGCCTCCAGAATGGCTCCCACTGACATGTGCCGTCTGGTACTCACATTTTGGTTGTCTCCTCCCACCTCATTCCAGCTTGGTCCATGTGAGCAGAATGACATGGCTTCCAGCCTAGGCAGCCCCATTCTTTCTGAAACCACTTATCTAGAGAAGCAAGCTGCCCTATGAGAGGAGAGCAGCTGTGGGAGTCTCTCGTGTCGAGGAGCTGAGACCTGCCAACGACCTACTGCTGCAAGTGCAGAGCTGCATCCTGCTCCGGCCGACACTTCGGATGAGACTGCGACAGACACAGCCACTGTGCAAGAACCACCCTGCTCAACCACTCCCAGAAGCCGACTCCTAGGGCCCGTGTAAGAAAATACACATTTGCTGCTTTTCAGCTGTTAAGCTTTGGGATAATTTGTTACATGATAGATGATTAAAACACACTATGTGTAAAGAGAAAAGAAAAGCACACGGGCACTCTTTCATTGGGAAACAATGACCGTTCTGTGAGACGGTTATTAACACGTGTGCCTGCAGGTGTCAGGTGTGGGCCACAGGGCTTCTACCAAGGGACGATGTTACCTGAGACGGTGGCAGTGTATCTGACTTGCTCTGCTTTCAAAAAGCAGGTTTTTCACCATTATCTTAACTTTAAAAAAGGAGCCCTCGTAGACATGAGAAACCAAAGCTTAAACCACACCGTGGGCCGTCGCTGGGGGTTTCTCTGTCTTTTGCACCCTATAGTGGCCAGAAGCCTCAGGGTGGTTTGGGAGTGCAGCCTGGCCCTCACGCTCTCATGGAGGATCTGCCCTTGGTTCTGAGCAAACAAGACCCAAGAGGAAGTGAAGGCGGGCATCACTATCCTCAGTTTCCGCAGCACGTGGAAGACACGCTCGAGGGTTGGCATCCAAGGGAAACGTGGCTTGCAAAATGCCACAGGGCCACTCTCCTGGGCTCCTCTTCCCTCCCTCTGCCTGTGTGCTCAGGATTGAGCTCCCCTGAGGCAATGGAGCTCGAAATAAGTGCTGGCAGCATTCTCAATGGCCACAGCCCTCTGTCTAGGTTCGAGTCCTGCAGTCACCGTTGAGGAGCTGTGTGGCCTTTAACCTCTCTGTGCCTCAGTTTCCTCCTATGTAAAATGGTAAAGTTAACATTATTGACCTCAAAGAGTTGTAGAGGAAATGAAAACAGCATATGTCAAGGGCTCAACACGATGCCTGGCCCGCGGTTAGAAGCGCTGTCATTGCGATTTTAGAATTCGGAGTCTCGCATCAGGCTGGCTCAAGGGAAGAAGAATCAGCAGGCAATCCCGGCCCAGGCGCTCTGGTGGACACCACAGGCATGTGTCCACCACCGCGCACAGCATCCCTTGTCCCAAGTAAATAAGACGGCCATGGCACGTGATCACCAGTGGAGGTCTGGTGAACTCTCTGTGGGCCATCCAGGATGAGGTGGAATTCCAGGCGCATCTGGTATGAGAC